TAAGTACCGTGGAGTCGGTTCCGACTCATAGTGACCCTGCACAGGGTTTCCGAGGCTGTAAATCTTTACGGGAGCAGAACGCCTCATCTTTCTCCCATGGAACCACTGGTAGTTTTGAATTGCTGACCTTGAGGTTAGCAGCCCGATTCGTAACCACTATGCTACCAGAGAGTTCTTCCAATTTCCTCATGACTGGCTTTAATGGTTGGTATGTTAAATTTGAATAATAATGGTATTAACTGGTTTTCCTTTTAGGCATATGGATATTATCCTATTACAGACAAGGTTTTGTACTTCAAGACAGATCTTGATATGTTCTTTTTGATGATGAATATGACACCATTCTTCCTTAATTAGTATATTGTGGACATGAAGCCTTAACTTCTCAGTTTGTTTTTCACTCAAGAGTTCTGGACAGGGACAAACTTTGTCTGTAGGTTGGCTTTTTTTCCTTGTCTTTTCTTTTGCAGGTCATAACTTTATGCATTGATCTCAATTTCAGCTCCGGGCTCTTCAAGGTTTCAGGAAGCGTCAAACCCTGGCACTAATAGATTCTATTTCTGGGATCCACAATCATTCCTCAGCCTATTGTGGTATCAGCTTGCATGTTTTCCATTGGCTAGTAGTTCCCTCTTTCTGACATATGGGGTTCACTTGTATGTTACTTGACCCCAAATTTCTAAGGAATAATTTCATAGTAGCTTGGTCCAATATATTGTCTCCTGAGCAGATGTCGTCTTTTTGTTTTTCCGTGTAAGTTCTACTAAAAAATACTAAGTGAACTTACAGAAAAGGGAATTTATTTCTGCTGAAGATTTCTAAGCTAGGCTAGTGAGGAGGAAGAGTTCACTCAGAGGTGCCGTTCAGTTAGTTCTAGTGGGGGAAATGACTTAAAAGTTTTCCTATTAGGGATAGAGGTGAAAGTGAAGTAAATAGGTTAGAACTAGTATCTTACCCAACCTAGAATTTACAGGGGACAAAGACTTAAACTCTCCAGAAAATATAAAACTATTGGGGGGAAATCATGTGTTTATATAAAAGGACCTAGTCTGTAGTCTTAAGTTTTACTTGTTGTTAAGTGCCATCGAGTCGGTTCCATCTCATAGCGATACTTGTTAGGGTTTTGAAGGAGCAACTGGTGGATTTGAACCTCCGACCTTGAGATTAGCTGTCCAGTTCTGATCCTACAGCACCACACTAAGAGTCCTAAAATCTTGTACCCACAGGAACTAGGGTTTGCTGTTTGTTTTCTTACTATGTGTAAAATCAGTGTGACTAAGGTCACTCTGGCAGCAACAAAGATGGGGAGAACAGAAGGACCAGAAAAGATAGAGGATCTTTTGGCTAGGTTCAAAGATGTTAGTGTAAGATCATCTTACTAAAATCATATAAGTCAAAACTGAGCAAGTTGGTACTGATGAAGTATTAGAGGTAAGAGGAGATAAAAAGAGCCCTTGATTATTATTTGCAGTGGGTTTATTTCCCATACAAAATTAGAGGTAAAACCAACTCCCGTGTCCCATTGAAGATTTCTTGCCCATCTTAAGGAAGTAGGGTAATGACAGAAATTTCTTTCAGTTTCTGAGACTCAAGCATAATTTTACTCTGCTGTTAGATCTCAAAGGATTTGGTAGTGTAGTGGTTACAAGTCAGGTTGCTAACCTCAAGGTAAGCAGCTCAAAACTACCAGCTGTTCCGTAGGAAAAAGATGAGGCTTTTTGTTCCCATAAAGATTGACAGCCTCACAAACCCCATGCAGGGTCACTATGAGTCAGAAGCAACTCCATGGCACATAACCACCACCACCATTAGATGTCAGGAAGTCCTGGTATGGCGCTGCAGGCTAATGCAGTGGGCCGCAAAGTCAATTTTGAACTGCAAGGTCAGTGTTTCAAACT